TTGCTAACATCTTTTCTTTATAATATAAGACCTGGTACTGATCTTCTTGGGTATGTAAAAAGTGGTGCAAAGATTTGTGTGCAAGTAAAATTGGTAAAACATAGAAAAATTGGATTGAATATAAGAGATAAAGAAAATAATAATTCACATGTTATTCTAGCATTTAAAGTTCAGGCAGTTAAAAAAAAGAAACATAGTATTAGTCAGAACATTAACAAAAATCAAATCAATTAATAACTCTCTAGTTAATATTATGTATTTACAGTAAAAATAGCAATATAATTTCATAATTATTAGAATAACTTCTGTAATTGCTAGATTAATATTAATATTTGATATGCAAGCGCTCGAGCTTTATTAATTTAACATAATAGTAGTAATAGGAATTTAGGTGTAATATTTATGATAGAAAACTAAATATCATAAATTTAATATAATATATATTAGGCGTGCTTATATTAATTCTCACAACTTTAAAGAGAATCTAAAATTTTTCTCTAAGTTTGTAAGATTTTATTTTTTCTCAACTTATATCCTCGACTATTTCTCTAAAATGTTTATTATACAATTTTATCATAAAATACTTTTATTATATTAAGTGCTAATGCATAATCCAAATTAATAAGATGAAGTAATATCATTTATTAATATCATAATATAATAATGATAAGGTAACAGATTCTCAATTTGAATTTAGGCAAGTTAAAATAATTTATTGAATATTTAGTACTAGTATGTGGTTTAAGATGTTGAGAAGTAAAATATAATATTATCATTATATTTGGTTTGTCTTGCTATTATTTATCTTTTACATTTAAAATATAGTAAAGTAAGCATACAAATATTAAAAATACTTAATTTATAGTATTGCATATATATAAGAATTATATTTGGTATTGTACTGAGCCTTTTTGATAAAGCAGAGTTAAAACATCAAGCTTTTAAATTTGATATATAGTCAACTCAGAAAAAAAATTTTGGTAAAAAAAATTACTAGTTTTTTAAGAAACCATAGCTCTTCCTATACCAAACTATTATGAAATTGTAAAATTTTGAGTTCATTATATCCAGAGTTCGTTATATCTATAGTTTGACTGTAATTTTAACATTAATGCATAATTGCAAAAATCTGTATAGAAATATTACATGAATATGCAAGAGATGCAGATCATATAACCGAATATTGTTACCTAATGAATGATCGACAAAAGCTGGCTCTTGTTTTGTGATATTCTTAATTTAATCTATTAATAAACACTTTTAATATCTACCAGCTAAATTAATACAAATAAATAATTTGGGCAAATGGTAAGTATTCATGTTCTTGTTTGGTGATTTTGTTTTGCTGTTCTTAATTTAATTCATTGATAAATGCTCTTTATACC